AAATTGTATGTTCAATTTTATTTCAATAAAGAAAATATCTGATTTAATTCTGACTAATAAAATAATGGAAACGAGTCTTAGAATTTATATTAGATTATTTAGAGTCGACGACGAGTGGAAGGACGAGAAGAAGAGAAATTAGACCGAAAACCATGTATAGGTCGAGAGTGACAGAGCTAACATGGAGATTATAATTCAAAAGGGAATCAATTAATAAACATAAATGAATAATTTCGCGAATACCGCAATGTCCGAGCATTTATAAATAGTAACTGTGTAACTAGCGTCAATAGTTTACGAGTATTCAACTTTTGGTAGATATTTTACGTCCCATACTTAATAATGTCAGTAATCATAAATCAAATACAATTTTCAATACATTTGATCATTTGTCGATTGAATTGAAATAAATTTTATGTTATTTCTACGTTCAGTTGAATCTGTTGATCGCGTTCAATTGGCGAATTGAACGTTCAAATAGGGGATCAGCTTTGAGTCCAATTTTTCAATTATTCCGCTTCCTCGGCGTCGTGATCGTGAGCCGGTCTAAATAGCGCGTTCGTCCTTGTAATTTGCTAACGAACCACCTAAACGACTGAGCAGAGCGGAACGGGACTGAGGATACCAGGCGAAAGGCAGGATCGTGATGCCTGCTTTGAGTTTGAGGCATCGAGGCATTACCGGAGCTTCCAATTTGCTTCGAAGTTTCGAAATGCGCAACGGGTAGCGATCAAAGGAAACGAGTCTAAATCCTATTAAAAAGAAAAGACGTTTAAAATCGAGGCAATTTATCTAACCGATTCTAACGTCTCAAAAAGCTCGGACTGGTTGAATTCGTTCTTATCTCAGATTTTCGTTAATGCGCTATTAATCAGAAGTCGAATTTTTTAATTACTGTTTTCATTCGAGACTGGATCTGTGTATCTGTTTATTAAGTATGAATGACTGATCTACTGTCTAACATTAAATTATTTACTGTATATAAGAACGTAGCAATACAATCGTCTATAACTTTGCAATAAATAATCATAACTGAAGCGGAAAAGCAATTCTCTTTAAAATACCGTTTAGTTAATTTCGATCCAACTTCCGGTTTCAGAGATATCTTTGTATAAAGAGAAACATAATTTTTTCGGCGTCGCTGCCACTATTTAATAGTATCTCCTCGGCGCTCATACTAACGACATCCCTTAAATTTTTTTCTTTCTATTAAGACGAACATCGAGGCTTCTTTTGATTCACGAAAAAGGAGACAGTATACTGTCCACGTTTCTATTAATGATCGAACAGGAAACAAGAACAGAGGGAGGGGGGCATTCATAACGATAGCGCAAAAATTAACGAGAACGGACCGAAAGGCTGGATAACCGTCGGCGATTCTTAACTCCGACGTTTCTGTTCCTACCTCAACTGTCTTTCTCTCTCTCTCTCTTTCTCCTCGACAGACAGAGGATGCGACGCTTTCATCTTTTCGCCTTTCGCAGACGAACGGCCCAGATTTTAACAGACTCCCTTTGACGTGGTTAAATGAATGCAATTTTCAATATGGAACGATAGAAGCCACTTCGCTGTGACAATTTAGTCCCATTCCTGAAGGAATCCCGCCCGCCATAAATAGCGGTAGTGATTTTCGTCGTCGAGCCATTTCGGGTGAATCCTCTCTACGCGCGACGCATTATCCTCGTCAAAATTACATATCATCTTCAGTCAAGTGCTAATCTCCATTAGATGTCTGCGACTCGAAGCTCCTCGCTTTGCAAAAGCCAGCCACAAATTTCTTAAAATTTCTCGCTTTGCCAAAATATGATTGATTATAATTGACATAGCTAGCCGAATACATGAATTAACGAGAGTAATCTGTGTAAATTGTGTAAATCGTGTAATTAATAGACACGATATTAAGCCAAAGTTAATTACGGTGACTGATTGTTTAACGTATTTAGTTTGGAAACTTGTTCCAAAATTATGATTCAGATTTGATTAATTATACATACATATAATATGTGGAAACGAAATGTGAGCATTGAACATTGCCGACGGTGGCAGCAATTAAAATTCGAAATTCCATTCGATAGGAAGATAGGATTTGAAAATTATTAACGGCCGCGGGAAATTAGATTTGCATAAATGATGTAACGACAACGGGGAATGAAATTATGCTCATCCTGGGAGGTGAAGGATCGCGTCCCACTGAATATGTATGCGTCGAGGAATCAACGCCGGGTGATTGATGAACCATCGCCGTTCGCTTGTCATCCCGTCCAAGCGATGACGTCGGCGTGTCTCTTTCTCTTTGGGACCGGCACCGTTTCGATCCCCGGCGTCGATGAATCCGCAAGAGGAACCTCGGCCCCGTGCCCGTGTATCGCTTGGCTGCGGGTCATTTATTATCGTTCACGTCGAACGCTCCACTGCGAAAGAAAGGAAGACGTCAGAGAAAACTAGATCGCCTGTAGAGAACTTTGAACGACTCGGAGTCGATAGAGATTCGTTGATGGAGTTCGGGACGAGCAAACGTAGGCTCTCACTCGGTTGCAAAACAATCTTCTCTGTTTGTTGAATAAAATATACGATCCTTGTATAAATATTCTTATTGCCAAGCAAACTTCTCTGTTTGTTCAGTAAAATAAACGATCCTTATATGAATATTATTATAATTTAACTGTACTTTATAAATCGTTTATATACAAATGAATAATATTTAGAATATTCAATGGAATGAGAGCCTACATTTAGGGATCATTCAGATTTTTGATGTAACAGCATGCGGATGAATTTGACACGGATATAAAAAAAAGTGTCTTAATGATATTCAATAAAACATGTATATAACAACATTTAATTGTCTCGTCGTATTACGGATATGTTTAAGTCGACGATGCACCGCGTATCACATTCGCTCGATCGAGTAGCTGACGTCCGAAAGAGGCGCCTACAGGAATCGTTCGATCCCGTTCCGAGCGGTCGGCTAGCCCGATCGCAAAAATAGGAAGTCGACCTGTTATCCCGATGCGCTACGCCAAGTGTCAGAAACGTTTAGGTAAACGATTACGTAAATAAAATTTATTTATTGAATAGTGGCACACCAGTGATGACGCGACAGGTAGTCGTGAACTCGTTGAACGCTCTCGCGACGAACACCTCACGCTTCATACCCCCAAGTACTATCGTCGGAACAATATTCCCTCTCATCGCAACGTCCCGCTTATCAATTCTATCTGCGCGATGTATAAACGCGACCGGGGTACGATTTCTAGCCAGTCGAACGGTCCGTACGAACCACACCGGCGACCCACTCGCTCACCGACAGAAAAGAAAGATTCTGAACGAACGGAAACGTGTAACGTCGCGTCGGGGGAGAAAAATGAACAACGAGCAGACCGTCGCGTCGCGACGAGAAGCTAATTAATCGACGCGGATGAAGAATTCATTTGTCAACGGCGGGATTAGTGTCCCTCCTGAGAGGCAATTACGCGATATCCTACCGGATTATCCCGGGGTCTCTTCACAATTCCTTGCCCCTACCCGTGTCTCTCCCCAGGCGAATTCCTCATCGCGACGATATCTCAATTAATTTTCATCACTTCCAATTAAATTCTTATCGGCCGGCCTAAATGAGGGAACACAATATTTATCGTTGTCCTCGGTTCGAGATAATCCCGCATCGGTTTCCTCGCCGTTCTCATCGTCAGACGCTGCGTGATGGATGAAACTTCGAAAGCATCGGTATCACCGGTGACAGCGGCATAGATTATTATCCGTCCTCTCCTTTTTTTTTTGGCACGATTCGCTCCTGTCTTTCGTCACGCACACTCAATCGCGCGGCCATCAGTCGCACACCCTCGCTCTCCGTTAACAACGCCTTAATAAAACCATCAAACGACACGATCTCTCGCGCTCTTAACAAAGACATTTCTTTTCTTTCTTTTTATATACGCGTATACAGTGACCCATGAAATTGATCGTACGTACATACATACATACATACATACACCTGAAACTGTTATTTAATTACGAATCAGAAATCGATTAGATTAATCAGAAAACAGAAGCACGACAATCGAATGCTTCTCGAAATGTTTATCTACTCTGTTAACACTTGATCATTTACACGAGTTACTGTATGCACTGTCTCCGGTATGTAGGTACGCAGTGCGCAACACTAAAAACGCTCCTCGCATCTCGTGAAAAAACTCGTTCGCTGTACAACTGTATTTATATATCGCATCTCGATACATTATGTATAATAAACTGTCGATCGTGTCAAAATATGACTAAAGGTCTCTTACGCGGCTACGCACTTACCTATTATACGACGTTACGTGGTAAACTAACAATACATGGATTTTATACAATCGTCTAGCGTGAAAGTGTGTCCCTATCGTGAATCACCAACGTCCGTTATCAACGTACATACAACCTTGCCGATCGCGTGCTACAGAACGCCGACACGTTCGGTCCTCGAGGCTGCTGGGATCCCTGGTTCTGGGAGAGCGTCAGATCAGAAGTCGTAATGCTCTCAGGTAACACTTTCGACATTTTGTACTTCTTCCTCAAAAGTTCGGTAGATGCTTCCTTAATTGTGGTACGTTACTCTACTAAAGTAGTGCCTGGTTAAAAGATGAGGACAGCGTACACCCATCCTAGGCCCTCGGATCTTCCAATTAATCTTCCATCTCAGCGCACGATTCTTCTTCTTAACGTACTTCATTGTGCATGTACTTTATCGTTCGAAACTTGTCCTCAACCTTCGTTTTAGGCCGTGAATTTTCTACCCTCTCATCGTTAGTCGACGTTGTACTAGACCGTTCGTTTCTTTTTTTTTTTTTTTTACTATGTTAGGCTAGCTGTTGGCAGTGATCACTATGAGTTTTGGTCCGAGTCTAGTCGCACGTTGCGTGGTCGGTTGATCGATCTAACACCTCGCCGCTAATATCGAGGTCGACTCTTCATCTATGATCCTCGATGAAAACCCTGTTCAACGTATCCCGTCATTGGCTCCGATATGTTTCGCCTGGTAATCAGCCTCGCGGGGCAATCAAATCGACCGGCCGTGCCGGGCCTCGAAAGTCCTCGCCTCGGGGAACGCGGTCCCGCGTTTGATCGGCGATGCACGCGAGTTTCATTGGCAGCGTTCAGCCTCGCCAAGCCGACGGAATGCGCCGGCTCACGACCGCGCCGATCGATCCCGTTTTATTACGGCTTGACGAGCGTCGAACAGCTCGCGATACTTCCGCGCAAACAACTCGCTACGATCGATCTATCGTTCGCGATCATTCTAGTAAACTTCGTTCGATGTGTGCACTGTTCTTTCCCATTCGTTTCGTTAATGATTATTCTCCCTTCGCTCGGTAACGCGGTCCTCACGGTCTCTCTTGCGATGGGCCGTCTCCTTCGGCTCGTCCACGTTTTACCGCTGAACGAGTCCGCACGGTCACGTGGATGCCCGATCGATCGGTGATTCAATCTCGTCGCCGGTGGAGCAGCTCGGGCCGCGTTGCGGTTTGGCGAATCCTACCGGCGACTACATATGCTATAAGCACGTCTCCTTCTGGTCGACCACGTTCACGACCACCGAGGCATGGGTGGGCAGCTCCTTCTGGACGGGCACACCTGTCGGCACCTCCTCGAGTATTGGTCAAAGGGTCGTGGTCCTCGATACGGCCGCCGAGGGCGGCGGCGGCGGCGGGGGCGGCGATATCACCACGTCCGGTTCACCCGCCAGGTCGCAGTCGAATCTCCAGAGAATGCTCTCAGGGTGGTCACCTCCTGCACATCAAACGGATTTGTCCAACTCGGGAATGATCGTTTAATATGTGCTATTCATAATTCCTTCTGCTCCAATATTATTAGTGTATAATTTAATGCAATATGTATGCACGACGTATTCATTTGATTAACACTAAATATACCAAGGGGGGTCAAAATGACTTGTTCGTTATTTGTTATAATTATTATTCATTTACAGTACATTTTGTTCTCTAAAATTTTATATGACTTTTTCAAAAATGAGCAAATAACTAATTAATTCTGTACAACAGTTTTTATCTTTTTTGTCTTTTTGATGTACAAATCGAGATGAGTCGTTTTGACTCCCACAGAACGGAGATTAAAAGCGTAATTATTTTGAAAATTGTGATTATTATCATTATCAGTTTATTCTTCAATTTTCATTGATAAAAACGTAAAACTTGCAAAAATTACTTATTAATTTGAAAAATAAATAATTTTTACCCCTCCGGTAGAAATAGATATACATCAATCACTGATAGTTGTAATGTTAATATACGTATATTATGTATTACAATATGTGATTCTACTTTTGATAGATATTTCGATCCTCTTTTAAATATCATTTAGTGAAAATGGACGAACCTTGACCCAAGACGATGCTTGAGGAGCCCCGTCTCTGCCTCGGTTGGGGTAGTTGGTGCTTGTGCGTATGACTGTGACTGTGGCTGTGTGAATGTGAGTGGCAGTGTTTGTGATGTGTGTGCGTGGTCGTGGCTTTGCACGGTGGCGGTTGCTGTTGCTGTTGTTGCTGCTGCTGCTGAGGATGAAGATGAGGACGAGGCCTGTGCTAGGTGTTCCCGCCACGGGCCGCTCCCACTTGATCGAAGCTCAATGATTTCTTCATCTCCGTCATCGACGACGCACCACCCTCCTGCTAAGAACAGAATTGAACGGCACCGTGTTAGCTATATCGAGGCCCGGTCGCGGAACCAGCCTCTTACATGTCGCGCACGCGGGTTATTAAAAGTTGGACCCCCGGCTCTCGTTACAAACTTGCCCCGAGAACTTTTTTAAAAGCTCGTAAAGAATTATCGCTGACACACGTGGCACCGGCGCGCCGCGACGCGTATCGAATTCGCCCACGACTTTACAATCCGTTCGATCCACGCTTCGCACGAAATTCCTTTTTTTCTTTTTTCAATGGATCGATCGAATCGCTCGCTTTTAGGATTTATGAAATCCGCCAATAATTCGGCCCACCTGCGACCCCTCGCGAAAAACTTTATTTGCGTTTCAAATATGCCTACGCGACAATCGAGATTCGATAAAGCGAGCGAAGATTGATAAGGGCGCGAAAGACTTTGTGAAGAGCCGGACGATCGATGGACTCCTTCTTTTTCTTTTTTTTTTTTTTTTTATTGGAAACCCGGCACGGACGAACTGACCACATGGAATTCCTGTCGATACTGCCGGGAACACGATGCTTCGGTATGGTTTGTCGAACAGAAAAGCCTGCAAATCGACTGAAAATTGGTTTGGTAGTATTTTTTTTAAACCATTTCGCTGCTTTCATCTCGATGCTCGCCGATACCTTTGAAATCCTACTAGATTTTTTCACTTCTTTACATGTACCTTGTGCAAACAATTGAATAAAATAAACAGACTGGAAAAAACAGTCGAGGGTGACAATCGCGGAGTTGAACTATTGTTTGTGGCAACCAGGAAAGACACATCGTGCTGTTTCATTAAGGATGTATAGGCTGTACACTTAAACAATGCTAGCA